CACTAATCTCACCGTCACAGCTGAGATGATTATGTGATACATCTGTCTGTATTTTTTTCATATAACATCCTTCCAGCTCATATAAAAGCATCATCAAGCTACATATTTATTACAAGTTCCCTGACAACGATTAAGACCATGTTTATCTACGCAATAAGAATTACGGTTTAAGAAAAATAAAATAATAATAATAATAATGTCTTTTAGCTTGAAAAAGACAAACGCAACCATGGAAAATATCTTGTGGCTTGAAACTTCTAAAACAGTAACACTGAGCTCCCCAACCTGAAGCCAACCCACGAGACCAAGTCCTTCGACTCTGACAGCCACAGGTTCATTCCCTCAAGTGGAAAATTACAATCCAAAACACACCCCAAAGGGTCAAAATCACACGTGTCCCTCCGAGAACCCACTTGTCTCCATACCAAATACAGCTGGTCTTTGCCGAAGCAAGACTCAGTCCCACTTTAGATTATTCCATATGTAAAAAAAAAAAAATCAAAATCTATGCGTAAATCGTGGCGACCTTAGCTGGCTCCTTATAACCACATTGCCGTGTGAAAGGCACACCCCCTTATTGCCCTTCCACCATAACATATATAAGGGAGCCCCAGTCTAGCACTAACTACTAACTTAGTGTGAGAAAGGAGTTCTCAGCTAGAGCATATACAATACTTCACTAGAGTGTTTTAGTTTCCAATAAAAGAACTCAAGAAACATTACTTTATGGATGTTTTCTGTAGTTATTCTGATCAGAACCCAATTGGGTCAATGAATTTGATGTCAGTTCATGACGAGCAAGAATGTTCTTATTCTTCTGTTCTTTCAGATAGTAGCATCACTAGTAGTGTTACTAAAGGAGTTCAACCAGGTGCAATTTTTTCTGATGAGGAAGTAATATTAGCTTCCAGGAATCCGAAGAAGAGGGCAGGAAGAAAGAAGTTTAGGGAAACAAGGCATCCTGTGTATAGAGGGGTGAGGAGGAGGAATTCGGGTAAGTGGGTTTGTGAAGTTAGAGAGCCTAATAAGAAATCAAGGATTTGGTTAGGGACTTTTCCTACTGCTGATATGGCTGCTAGGGCACATGATGTTGCTGCTTTGGCGTTGAGGGGAAGGTCTGCTTGCTTGAATTTTGCTGATTCTGCCTGGAGGTTGCCTACTCCGGCTTCCAGCGATGCTAAGGATATTCAGAAGGCTGCAGCGGAGGCAGCGGAGGCTTTCCGGCCGGAGGGGAGTCTGGGAGTTGAGTTAACGAGGGCGGGAGATGAGGTTGATCAGGTTGCAGGGACGGCGGCGGGGGATGTGTTTTATATGGATGATGATGCAGATTTTGGAATGCCAGGTTTGTTGGCTAATATTGCAGAAGGGATGTTATTGCCGCCACCTAATTATTGTGGTTATTCCGGTGGGGATAGTTTGGATAACATGGAAAATAATGACACTGAAATGTCATTATGGAGTTTTTCTGTTTAATATTTTTAGTTATTAGTAGAGTAATTAGGATGATAATTAAGGTAATCCGGACTTATATTTTTGCCAGTACGGATAAAATTATCAAATATTGTCGTACCTCTGGTTTTCTGGGCTGGATTGTTTGGTAGAAATCTGCAGCAGTGTGAAAATTTAAGCGAGTAATAGGATTTAGGGTTACTGTTAATAAATATTTGTGAAATTAATTACAATCGCATCATCATGTATTAATGACATTTAAACATGCGAAAGCTGTTTCAAGCCTCAGCTTCACCTTATGCTGCTTGCCCAATTTTCTATTTGTTTGCAGCTTCATGTGCATGTTTAAATGTTTCAAGTATTTCTCACACCAGTCTTACAGCAGATAAACACAACAAAGGTTTCTGTCCAACACAACGAAACTACATCAAACTATCAGCTCCTGCCAAACCCAGATTGCCCATCGAAGCTCCGTAAGTGTTGAGAGTTTGAACCAGCCAACTGGATGGAGGAGATCCCAGCTGATCAACTTTTCTACTCTGGTGCTAGAAGTTATCTTTCCCCCTGTCAAACCATCAACGAACCAGATTTCCTCAGGAAAACTTCTGATGTCACACACCGGCTGTTGCGGCTTAAGC